GGAGGCTCCTGTGGGTCCCACAAAACCCAGAGTTACTCTCTGGGTAACTCCTGAGCTGGGAGGCTCCTGTGGGTCCCACAAAACCCAGAGTTATTCGGGATCACCGCACGTGCTGAGCCGCCGGTCAGTGCCCATCCTCCCTTCCATCTGTGCTGCAGGGATGGGCCCAGCTTTCCTTTCATCAGGGTGAGGTGTTTTTGCTTGCTCCAGCATTTTACTGGTGAAGGATGGGACCACCAAGCCACGAAAATGGCTCCTGTGAGAAAGTTCTGAAAGCTTTCTCCATCATGTCCACAAAGGAGCCCTGCCCCCTGTGTTTTAGGGCCAATCTCTGATGGCTCTGAGGGTGATGGACAGGCCTGGGACAATCAGAGATGTTGGTTCCACCTCTGTGATGACATATGGTCTCGTATTTAAGAAGAATTCAAAACAAGTTCATTTTGCAGCAGCTGCCATTAGCTTTAGCTTTTAGCCCCAGTCCCCCCACACAAGGGAGGGTGAGGGGATATGAGGAAATATGGAGACATCAGGGTCAGGGAGGTGGAGGAGGAGGAAAAGGTGCTTTGCAAGCTTTGGTGCCAACCATGGAGGAAAACAAGCTGTTCCTGGGGTGACTGTATCCAATTGGAGATCCAAGATATTCGGGGCCTGGCCTTGGAGTGGCCATGGGGATGGTGGCCCACGCCTGGAGTGAGTGAGTGAGTGAATGCCTGGAGGGAGCTGTGCTGAGACTGTAGAGTGAAGTTTTGCTCCTGATYTGAGTATGGAGCCRGCCAGCCTTAGAGGACTGCTTCCCTCCCTGAGAGTGAGGTAAAGAAAAAAATCCCATGCCACCAGCAGTGATAAACTGTCTGTTCTTGGGAAAAGAACCTCCACAGCCTGGAGCTGGATAAAAACTCTCCTCCTATGGTGATGGAAGACAACATCATGAGGGACTGACAGAAAACTCTCATCCCCTGAGCACAGGAAGGTGGGAGGGGTGGAAGTGAACCAGGAGAGAAAACAGGTGTCTTAAAATGTCCATTTTTTTTTTCCTTCTCCTCATAAATTCACCCTCTGTCTTTGTTTTTTCCCCTCCCTTTTGCATAGTAGTATTCTTAGTAGTTTTAGTAATAAATCTTTTTTGCAACTTAAGTTTTTCAGCCTGTTTGACCATCATTGGTGCATGAAAATCTTTCAATCTGTTATCTTATCTAAAAGCCATAAATCTTGGTGTTAATTGGGGTTTTGCTGAACTGAATCAATCTCAATACAACCTCCACTTTTCCTATTGCTCCACCAACACAAAGCACCTACAGCACTGTTAATAAAAAAATCCCTTCTCATTAGCCTGAGCTAAGCCATTGATCCAGCCTGTCCATGGGTATGTGGCTGSTTCTCAGAATGTCACCTCCCACTACTACAAAATTCATTTTTCGGAACACCTGACATTTCTCTCCTGTGTCACATCTCCTGGTTTACTTGCTTGCTGTTAATTTTAGGATTTTCCTTTCACCAGAGAGGCCAAAGCCCRGGTATTGTAGGAGTCAGGCAGAGATTCAGACTTAGCAAGCTTAATTGGAATAAAATGGTATCAGTGAGGGCAGATCAGAGGAATTTCTCTCTGCAGAAGAAGCAAAGWCCTCTCTCTCCTGGGCCTGCTTTTAATCACCATTTAAGGGAACTGCTGTACAATTGGTCAAAGGACAGTCACAGCAGCAGAGAAAGCAGTAAAAACACAGCACATGTCCATTATTGTAGCAAGAATTCCAGCTTTGCCCGTGCCCAAACAGTGCTGWGACTGCACAAAGGTAAATGCTGTATTTGTTGGTTCTGCAAGCTCTTGCTCACCTGCATGTTCTCCGTAGCATCCCCAAGCAATCCCCCAAAAGTGATGGCATTGGTGACAGTGGCCAGGTAGATGAAGAGGATGGCTGAGAGGGCCTGGATGTTTAAAGCATCRTAGAAGTCGCTGGCGAAGAACGGTGCTTTCCTCTTGATGTCTTTGATCAAGCCCCCACAGAACCTGCAAGGACAAGCAAGAGTGAACTCATTCAAGACATTTCAGAGGGAAAGTCACTGCACTAAATCAGCAGAGGCACTGCCAGCARTGGAGTATTATCTCCATGGAGTGAGATCACCACTTGACAAAAAATCTTMTCACAGCTCTGGTGGTCCAGGGATATCAGAGACAATATTGTAAGGAAAGRTATTATCTCAAACATGTGATGCCAYTGCAAAGAGACAATTTCAGGAASAGACTACTACAGTTTCCATTTCAGGAAGCTCATCTGTTGGTTTTTTCCCCCCAACTATACAGTTGGTGTAATAAAATAGATTAACTCTGGTCTAAATCCCTGCCCAAATTTCTCCACATGGCAGACAATATGGCTGGGCGAGCCAAACAATCTGCTGCGTGGAAAAATGCAGCAAAAGAACTAGAAGTGAAAACACGAGGGAAATACTCCTGGACAATGACAGAACTCTTTGTATCATCACACACAAGACAGTATTTAACTCTTATAAACTCCACGTGCCTCTGACACTGCCAGCATGAAAAATGTTTGTTTAGCCTCTTGTTCCCCTGCTCACAGCTCCCCACCTGTACCAGGAATGCTCAGATTGTGGCAGGCAGGCACATATCCCACCTTCTGACAGCAAATCAGGATGCTCCACTGCCTTGTACACACCAACGTGGTGTGAAGACATTCAGASTTTTCTCCTAGAATTTAGACAGAACTAGAACTTGAAATGAAGATACAGAGTGGGAAGGAGAACACAAAGCCACCATGAATCCCTGTGTACTGACCTTGAAACACTGAACTTGCTGTTTCATGGCCACCTGAGCTTCATTCCTACTCCAGTGGACTTTTATGTGGCACAAAGCAGAGCAATAAAGCAGAGAGTAGGGCCTGGGGATCTGTTACCTTCTCTATATCTACCCATAAAAGCCTTCATCTGTGGAATTCAACTGCAACAGTAATGTCTGGAAAAGGGAACATCTCTGCTTTTGGTAAAGGCACCCTTCAGCAATCCAAATGGATTAACTTACACTTATACCTGCCACATTTATGTCCCTTAGGGTTTGTCTGACTTCACAGGCTCTCAACAGCCAGCACCTACCTGGGCCTTCTGTCCTTTTTTATGACTTTATCATTTCATGAGCATCTCATTTAGGACATTTTGCAGTTTGCTGAAGCTGGATGGTTGGAACCCTTCAGACAGCCTCACCCTAGCACTAAAAGCCCTCAAGATAGATTTTGGGGTCAGAGCTCAGCCTGTAGAGCCAGTCCTTTGGGGTGGGAATGTTTTGGCAAGGGAAGCATTGCAGGGTGTCACTGACCTGCCCGTCCTCTGCAGCTCCTCACAGTCCCCGTGGCCGCCACCGCCGTGTCCCCCATCRTGGGGTGTGTCTCCATTCATCTGCACATTTTCACCACCAGAGTACATGTTTTTCCTAAGCAAGGACACAGYGTGTCAGGAGCACAGACAGAACCCCAAAGAGCCTGGATAACCACCAGGTATGTTATCATGTGCCTACAGCATCACTTCAAAAAGTACAGAATTGCAGGAATATCCTCCCTCCAGTTATTAAGAAAGACCTGCAAATATCTCCAGGACTTTCTAAATAGGGAGAGCTGCAGGTCACTCCATACATCTGGAACATGGAGCACAGCCAAAATGTTGCTTTTTCCCATCCCCTTTTCACAGCTGATGCCCACTGTCCTTCTCCACAGAGCCTCCCCCCTGCCATTACCTCTTATCTGAAGAAGGGAGAGATTTGGGRGGCTCTATCCTAATGGCTGGATCCCATTCCCCAGGGGGGAGCACGATGACTTCATCCAGAAATTCATCGATGCCTGCGATCAGATCCTGGCGGTCCTTGGCTTTATAGGCAATGTCATGGAATACCTGCAGGGGAAAGACAGTCCCTGTGGAAAAGGTTCACATTTTTTGTGGCCCTGACTCCAGAAGAGGCTGCTGAGTTCTACAAAATCAATTTAATTCCTTATCAGAAACCTCTGAAGAGTATCAAGACTTGTGGCACAAGGAGGTGTGTCCCTCAGAAAGCCCTTCCTTTGGCTGGGTAACAACAGAGATTCTTTCCTTGTATGCACATATCTAATTTTAAGCAAAACCTCTATTGCTAACCTTTAAAAATGTTAGTAAAGCAATTATCTATTTCTTTAATGTAAAAAAAAAATAATTCTACATATGGAAGAAATTCTACTTAGAGAAGATACTTGGACAAAGCCACCTACTTCAGTCTATCAAACACAGATTCATTTTCAATCCTGTGATAGAGAACTGATGACAATATTTACTAACAAAGAGCAACATAAAGTAGTTTTAGTAATTGTCTGGTATTAATCATGAAGAACAAATGAGAGAAGAGGTGGGGACAAAAAGCATTAATACTGAATTTGATAGGAATTTTTTGGACTGTGTGGAGAGCAGGTGGATGAGTGAAGGTGACAGATGAGCTGGTGGTAGGAAGGGAGTTGGGGGCTCTGGAAAGCAGACCACAGAGTGACAGAAACCAGGAGAGCTGGGAGCAGCCAAGCTGTAATGAAAGAACTGTAGGAGAGCAGAGCAACACCAAGAAACAAAGCTAATGTGAATCACAGCATGCAGAGCCCAAGGGATGCTGGAAGAAAGGAACCCTAAATGAATCCTGGAAGGCCAGCCATGGCAGAGAGGGGTTTGAGGAGTGGCAGCTGCTCCTGGATAACACACAAACACTGCTGGCACTCAGGGCACAGTGGCACCACAGCCTGTGGGCATGGCCTGGAGAGCCCTGCCTGGGGACACTGCCATGGTACAGAGGACACAAGGTGCACATCACAGCAATCAATTCAACAATTAATTCACAGTTGAAATGAAAGAGTGATTGCTAGCAGGAAAACACACACGGCAGACAAACCCCTCCTGGAGTGGCACTTCTGAAAAACATGAAGCTGGAGGCAATAGCTGTGTCAACAGATAGAATTATGAGGTGATGTGGGTATTTCAGCTTTCCATGAATGCTCCTTCTGTTGACCAGGCTGGAGAGAAAGACATGAGTGCTTGGGAGGATCCATTTCCCACAGGAGATGCCAGGACCTACCTCATCTGACATCAGCGTGGCGATGGCTCTGCCGATCTCATGGTAGGACTTGGCTTTGCCCTTCGGTCCCAGCAGAATGAAGAGAAATCTGACAAAACCAAGAGATTGCTCCCATTTAGAATGGCAAAACGAACTGCTTAGTGCTTGTACARCATCTAGACAGCAATGTGACTTTAGAAATGGTGGTTCTTGTTACTCTGACAATGAGCTAAATTCAGAGTGGAGGTTACACCCTGTGGCCCATCACACCCTGTGCATCACCAAAGCCTGTCCACCCCCACGGGGATTTGTTTCATGCCATCACAGAATAGTTTGTGTAGAAAAGGATCCTAAAGGCCATCTAGTTCCACCTTCCACTAAGCAGGTTCCTTCAAATCCTGCCCARCCTGGCCTCAAACACTTCATTTCTCACATGATCTCTCTGGGCAGCAACTGCATCCAAGTCATGGCTGAAGAGTTTGAAAAACACCACGATAAGAAACCTTTGTCAGTGCAAACACACTGATGAAATAACCTCACCAGAAACACCTCTCCCCTCCCAAGGACTGGATTAAATATTATTTTTTCTCTCAAACTCAAATATGATGGATGAGGTACTAAGTTAAATGGCTTATGAAGAGTATTATAGCCAAACAAGTACTTTCTGTTGAAAAAAATCTAGAGTCCTAAAAGAAAAAAGGCAGCAAGTTAGTAGRAGAGGATCCATAAATACAAATTGAGCAGCATTACTACATAACACTTCTTCATGGAGYTCTTCACGAGGTGTTTGAGTGTTTTACTTGAGGTTCACAGGGAGGTGAGTAAGCCACACACGCCCAGGTCATGTCCTCTGCTCTCCTCCCACCTCCTGGAACTTTCCCTGCTTTACCAGTTCCTATAAAACAACATTCAACAAAAACTGTTCCTCAGCCAACACTTTCCAAACTCCAGGATGCAAATTAGCCAAATACATTAATATAAAAAAAAGAGGTTCCCAACTTCAGAAGTTGCTGCTTGGCATTTTCCTGGTCTCCAGGGGAACTGGGCACTTTTATAACCCTCTTCTGCAATAATCCCACCAGCTGGCTCTTTTCCAGCACAGAGCAGCAGCACCTGAATGCTCCTGCACTACTAAAACACTCTTGAAAAACAGCAGTCTGTGGCATTTTCCAAATTCTTTGTCCTAATTCAGCTCAGAACTGCCTTCAGTGGGTAGAACAACATCTTTTCATGGGCCAAATGTTACAAACACAAAAACGTGAATGCATTTTAGTGGCCTGAACTAGATTAGGTCTGCATGGATTYAATATCATTTAGCTGTGAACATTTCCACCTACAAAAGCCATCTCTTCTAGCTGTGCCATACTCCTCCTCTTCCTCTGCTGAAGGCCAGTCCTGAATTTCTCCCTGCTGCACACAACACATGCTGAGCTCTCCAATGCCCATTTCTGATACTTAACACTGGTAATAATGCTCCAGGGCAGGGAATGTGAGGTTCCACCAAGCTCAAAGTCTCAGAAATAATAATAAAATTGAGCGTTTCTCAATGCACTGTGAGAACAGCAACTCTGTAAGGGTTAAAGGCASTGCACAAAGGACTCTCAGCCAAGTCCTGGTGGAAAAGGGCAGGGAAATGTCTCAGTCAGGAGCCCAGGGAGGACCAGACTCCTGGATCTGCCCCTAGCTTCCCAAGTGACCTTTGGGCAAGTGACTTCACTTCATTTGAGATCTGCAGCCACCAGCCTTTCCCAGCTCTGCACACCAGACTGTGCAAGTCTGCACATCTTATCTCCCAAAATCATCTTCTCCTGACTCACTGCTCACCCTTCTTCCCATCAGCGTTGCATTRAACATCAGCCTTGAACACACGACTGTGCATTGCTCACATGAAAATACAAAACCATTCCCAAGCCATGCTGCCAACTCAGGGCTTCCCCAAATGAGGAGTYCCAAGTGCTGTGGGATTAAATTCTACACAAGAAAACCAGAGGTCTTAAAGGTTTTTCTCAACCTGAAAAGTAAAAAGAAAACTCAGGAAAGGCTGGGATCTCTATATTCCAACTGCATATCCCTAATTTTTCTGTTAGAAATCGTGGGAGGCTACACAGTGCCCAGCTRGGCAATTGATAATTTAACAAAATAAAAGGAGAAGCCCCGTGGGACAGAGGGGAGGGCATGCCAGAGGCTCCAGCTGCAGAATCCTGCAGCATCCTTTAAGAACAGGCTCAAATGCCAGCAGCACAGGAGATGCTCCATCACAGCTCCTCCAGCCCTGAGGGGATTGCCTTGATTGAATTTTGTAGGATGCAGCCATGGCAAATGGCTCTTCATCACTCATGAAAGCCACCTAATGAGCCTTGCTGCTTTGATTAGGGCCAGGATTTGCTTTGGAGAACAGCAAATGGATAATACCATTTCCTGGGAAAAATGCTGGCATGGAAGGACATACTGCCTCGATTATTGCTACTGAGTAATGAGGCTGTCCAGCAATCCTGCAGCCAACTTCCTGCTTCCACCACCACAGCAAACAATACCTTACAGCTGCTGAGAAGAACTTGGAGACATGTTTAAAAAATAGTCAGTGGGATTAGGGCTGGAAGCTGAAATATTGAAGCACATTGAGCCCAGGAATGCTCAGGAATGCAGAAACTGCTACAAAATGAAACCATATCTGGGTCCTGCCTGAATACCCAGCATGTGCAGACAGCTGTGGATGTGGCTGTAAGTACACTCAATGAAATTCCAAGGAATACAAACACTGCTACTACCATTAAATTAGTAAAGCTACCATTAAAGAGTAAAGCTAGATCTTCTTTTCCCTTTKTTTGGTACACAGATTGCACCAGCCATCTAATTTCCACTCCATACAAGAGCTGTGATATTGCTGTGAATTCACACAGCTCAGATAGCCAGGCATATTCAAGCAGTGACTTCAAATATTTAAGAACACAATAGATACTGCTATTCGTGAGACAGATTATTTTGCAACATGAGTCACAAGAAATAAAATATTTCTCTGACATTTTTCCTTGAGCCATTATGCATTACAAAGCACCAAGCCCAATAGAATTGGATGTCCAAATTCACCTGACCCTTTTTTTTTTTTTGTCCCAGGAGGACCAGAATTGAATCCTTCATTTGATCTGAGCTGAAGAGGAACAAACAGTATGTACAGCAAAAATGTGTAGAGGGAATCTGAGACCTGTACAGAAGGAGCAGGAAAAAAGCCCCAGGAGTTAAATTTGACACTGACAGTGCTCTTTACTCCGAGTTGTAAAGTCAGTGTGTTTGTGTAATGGTTTACTTACACCCAAACTCATGTCCTGAAAACGATGTCCTGAAAAGCTTCAGTGGGTTTTGTTACTTTACACCAGCAATCCTGACTGTTCTCCATGCYGAGAACATCTCATGGCTGGGTGTTTTTATTTGAACAAGAGCAAATGCAGTGTGGGGCCCTGCTGGGGGCTGCCTTTCCTTACCGTGTGGGCACAGGGACCTCGGTGAGAGCTCCCAGCATCACCGCCTGCTGCAGCCGGACAAAGGCGATGAAAGGGCTCTCCAGGAAATCCACCTCCCCCACCAGCACGTTGGAGGCCTCAGCATCACGAGGCAGCTTCTTCATGAATTTATTCTTCAGCTGCAGCASGGAAAGAGGAAGGCAAAGAAAATTAAGTTGTGTTGGGCAAAGAAAATTAGGTTGTATTTCTGCACCTCTGTGCTCTAACCGTGAGTGCTCATGGGCTCTGGAGAAATGGCACCAGCAGGGAATGGCAAAACATTGCAGCAGCACGGAGCTCTGAACCTCAGCCCCTGTGAGATGCCTTGGTGTGAACTTCAGCTGCAGCAGGGAAAGGGGAAGGCAAAGAAAATTAAGTTGTGTTGGGCAAAGAAAATTAGGTTGTATTTCTGCACCTCTGTGCTGTAACTGAGTACTCATGGGCTCTGGATCTAGCTCTGGAGAATGGCAAAACACTGCAGCAGCACTGAGCTCTGAACCTCAGMCCCTGTGAGATGCCTTTGTGTGAACTCCAGCAGCAGCAGAATTCATTTGGAGCTGAAGGCTTTTGAAAAGGCCTCTCCCTGGGTGATCTCTGGAGATGCTCTGTGTGTGCCTGGCCAAGGGTGAATGGAGAGGGAGGATGTGCTGCCAGCAGCACCATGAGGAGAGGAGGGGACACTCAACTGGACTGTGAATCCCTAATGAGCTGTGTCAGGCAACCCAGGGAAGGCAAAAAATGGAAAAAGTCTCAGSAAAACACATGAATTGATTAAACAGGAAGAAAACTGCTGGAACCATCCTAAACCCGCATGCTTCAATCAGGATTGTCAYGAGAAGAAATAGTAAATAAGCATCAAGGAGCTCTGAGGAAGGAGGAAGGCTGGAAAAGTGCTACCAGCTCTTCCACAAACAGTGTTTGGGAGCATCCTGGTGGTAAAGAAATAATGGGAAGGTGGCAAAACCACAACAAACATTTAATTTATCTTACCAGGTCCTGGACAAGGATCATTCAGCCACATCAGGGCTGGTCTGGACCCTGGCCCAAACCCAGGTGATTCTGTGAGCCAGAMCTGACCTGCAGAGTCTCTTGTGGCCCAATTCCTGAAGCCAAAGGCTTTGACCCCTTCAGCCTCCCCCCTGCCCAGCACAGCAAACCACCATCACTAATTTTGAAGAGCTACCATTATAGTGGGTTTTCTTTTCGCCAAATGAGTTTTGGAGCACCATGGGCCACTTTCTTAAATCATTTATCAATGCAGTCAGCACTTAAAATCCATTCTGAACCATTCTTTAAAGAAGCTTTGGAAATATTTGACTCCTCAGTAGCATCCAGGAACAAGGCAGGGAGGAGAGAGATGCACTTTCCCCTGCCAAACTGAACATCATTCCAACCCGACCACTAATGTTATGTTAAAAGCCACAGGTCTCCAGCACTGGACTTGCAAAAAGGCACAGCAACCTCAAAATCCCAATTTCCTGAAATGTGCTGTAGCACTTGGATCATCAACAGCATTTGGATCGATGGGAAATGAAAGCAGCTCCTAAGTACACACTCCTAAGTAGCACTTAAGGAAGGTTAATTCTCCCTGGAACTTGAACCTGGCTCTGTCTGTGTTTTTCTGTATTGCTCACACACAGGTTTGAGATCTCCAGGGGTGCCTTCCAGGCTGCTCCATCACCCAAGGGTGCTTTACAGGGCACTGTGGATATGGGGAGAAACCAGGCAAGCAAAACTGCTCTCTGCATCAAGAAAAACAGCAAAAGTAAATGAAAGTCCAGTAAACTAATATTTCTAGAAACTTTTCCTTTCCTCCAGAAGGGTGGCATTGATTGTACTGGAATACAGTCATTTTCACTGGAGATCTGAAAGTAGGTCACCCAGGCTGACAGACCTCAAAACTGRAATGTCTGCTTGTGACTAAGGTGAGGAGAAGATGTTCCAAGAGGAAAAGCAGGGAATCACTCCCACTATCAATCACCAGACTGCATTCCCAAGGATGGGATCCAGCCAGCACCTCCCTGTCCATCGGTGCCCAGGAAAGGCAGGAGGCTTTCTCCAGTCAAGGCCAATTTCTTTTTTAACTTCAGAGCTGCCTTTGGCACAGATCCCCTGTTGACATGGAAACACTGGGTTGAATACACAGTGTCACACCACAACAAATAAGAAGGGTTTTGTGCCTCCCTCTGACTGCCCATATTCATTCAGAGCCAGGCTCGTCCCACAGAGCAGAGATAATGCCAGCTCAGGAAACTCCCCTTATATCAACATACATTCCCTTTCTATATGCTGCTGCATCAGCTCAGGAATTGCAGGACCCCAGCAAAACAGATTTCCTTTCATGTCCCCTTTATTTTACACTTTGAAGGAGACCTGGTGGTTCAGCCACTTGGAGCTGCCAAGGACAYTCTAACAGAGCACAGCCAAAGGATTTCTCGCAGCAGGAGGGACTGGAGTGGAACTTCCCCAGCTTCCTGTGCTCTGCTGCCACTATGGCACCAGAGGGGCTGATAAAGTGTCTRCTTGACTCTTTTCAATCCCTTTCTTCCTCATATAGGCTGAAAAGAAGAGTTTTAAATGGTTTTAAATTATTAAAATGTGTCTGCCCCATCCCTGGAAGTGTCCAAGGCCAGGCTGGACAGGGATTGAARCAACCTGGTYTAGTGGAAGGGGTCCCTGCCCATGGCAGGGGRTGGAATGGGATGGTATTTAAGATTYCTTCCAACCCAATCCATTTTGACATTCTGGGATTCTATGAATAGGGTGYTAGAGAAAAACTTGCTCCAATAATTTGACATTCAGGAGCTGGAGGAACTCTCCAGCCATCCTGGTTTAAGGTCCAGCACCACTGATGTATCTGACAATAGAGAGCTAGGAGCCCAGGAGAGGGCAGGAAGCCTAAATGCTCATTAATTAACTGCAATACAGGAAAGAAGAATAAAGTGTCCCAAAATGCCACAGCTTGTCTCTCCAGCTGCAAATACCCAGGGCATTAACTGCAGCCAACACCTCCTAAAATAACACAAATGAAGGTAAATCTCTGCTCTGCCAAAAAGACCACAATGAACAGGAATACACCTCTTCTTCCCTAATTATCCATATCAAACACCAAATGAGCCCAAAGCAAAAAACATGACAAAACAGCAAACCCCAAATCTGTGGGCCATAASTGAAGATTCATCTCATTGGAGTGGTTTGAATCAGGGCCCGGGCAGCCTCTCCAGGATGCTGGGGATACTGGGGATACTGGGGCAGCCTCTTTGCAATCCCAGTGGACCAAGGCATCACCCCCATGCAGACAGAGCTGGCTGATGGAAACTCCCTGATTCAGTAGCCATAAATAACACCCCATGGCCAGGCAGAGCTGTCTGGGTCCTCTGGCAATAGGGATGAACCCGGGAGGATTCATCATTCATCAGGTCTGTGACATGCATGTGAAACCTGAACCTTACAACACCCAGAGAAAAGGAGCAGAGACACTACACTACATCCCCTATATTAATAATTGCACCACTCCAATTAGCATTAAAGGATGCAGAATATTAAGGATGTAGGAAAATGGCAAAGTTACTGGAGGTACAAGGAAGTTTGGCCAAAGCCTTTCTTCCTCTAAAACATGGGCACACACATATCTATCTGTGTAAATCAGGGATTAAGGATGTAGGAAGGCAGTCCTGCTCTATAAACTGACCTCATCCATCACGTTCCTTACACACACCAATAAAAACTGGGATATTCTGTGTCCCCAGCAGAGTCCCACCTGCCTGAATGGCCTCCCTAAGTGTCCAGCTTCCAGCTGGGAATAACAACAGCCAAGAGAACCTGCTCCCTTTGCAATGTTGGGATAACATGACAGATTGTTGCCATGCCTGCTGTCTGGCACTCTGAGTCTGCTCAAGGAAGGTGCCAGGCATCACCACAATGCCACAAACCTGACCAAGGCAGGAATCAGAGTCCATCAGCCATGGAAATTGAGCTCTGTGGTGATCTCAGGATGCAGAGGACAAGGCTTCTACTTGTGCAAAGTTCACCAACAGGACATGGGTTAATTAACTGAGAGGATGTTTGGAGCTCTACATTTAGCAATTAAAGTTCTCACTACCGACAGCCAGGCATTATGGACACTGGAAGGTAAAAACTTTGGAGCGTGCTCCCAACAGCATCTATTAACAGATTTCCCTATTAGCTCTACCAAAACATCTATTTTTTATACCCAATTCTCCACAAAAATCCATTATCTGAATTTCCAGAGACACAGGACTGTCTGCACTGCTGAGAGCTGTGAAGCTGCTGCAACACTCAGTCCCAGCTTTGGGTTGGTCTAGCATTAAAACTCCAATTATAATGGGATCAAAAATATTAAAAAGCAGTTTGTCTAACAACAAAAAACTGCTTTACAACCSTCCTCCTTCCTCAGGTGTGGCTGTGTGTATTAAAGGAAACAGGTATTTTGGAAATACAGATGATAGCACAACACTGCATGACAATGAGTCCCATGACAGCAAAATGCTGTCCCCCTTTCTCTTTCCATCAAAGTGATTTTTTTTAGGGAAAATAATTTTTTTTAGGCAATAAAAATATTTTTTAAATATTTAATTACTCCGAACTCACTTTTCTACATCAATTAAGTTGCTGGGTCCTTTTCAGGATGCACTTACAGAAGATTGTGACCAGCCACTGTTGATAGACTGGAGTCACCCTCAACTGGCCAGCAACGCTGTGTTACCCAAATAATTTYCCAAAGTGACTCTCATTTGCATTTAGAATCACCATGGAACTGGGGAATGCTGAAAAACGCAGACAAAAAAATGAGATTCTCCGAAAGAAACAGCCAGGCTTTGAGAATAACCCACTTTTTGAACCCAGACAAAGGTTTTTTGAAACTTGCACAGAGAGCTCATTCAGCCAGCAGTTTTCTAAGAGYTGGAATAAACTTACTCTTACCCCTCAGAGGCTGCAGCCCTCGGAAACGACGGAAACACACACAAAGACAGCCCGTATGCCACAGCACAAACATTACCCCAGCCTAAGAAAGAGGTCAGGTCCATGGAGATTCATCACTAGAGGCCAATTTTAACTTGATTACTGCACTTTGGAGCTGCTCTCCCACATTACCTGKCAGCAGAGCCACCTTCCTGCTGTGACATGCAGGGGGAGGTGGCACCTTTGTTCCAGCAGGGCCGTGTTCCCCCATGTGCTCCTGTTCTACCCCGTGATTTCAGTGAATATTCAGCCCAGAGTGCTCCTCTGCAGACCCTTGGAACCCCTCAGCAGGAAGAGAATCCAAAATCCATCAATCCCTGGGTATTTTCCCACCTTTCTCATGGATATCATGGGGATCATTCACTTGCTTCAAGCCTTGTAAGAGATTACCCTGCTGTTTTTCAAGGTGCTTAAAAAGTGGRAGATCCAGTCACAGGACTCTAAAATGTTCACCCTCTTCTGTCCCCAGCATCCAGCTCCTCTCCAGCACCCCCAAGAGAAGGCTGGAGCTGGACCTTACCTGGTCCTTCTCAGGCTTGTCGGAGATGTCGTTGAGGCTGGTGGAGGTCAGGTTTCKGTGAGCCATGGCTGGGCTGCCTGGAACAACAACATCAACACAGTTACAGCACCTGCTTGGATCCACTCACAACACAGAGGCTCAGGCTACAGCAAAACCTTTCCTTGGGAGGCTGAGTGGGGATTCCAGACCCTGACAGGCTGCTGTCACTTGAGGTGGCACAGGGGATGTTTAAGATGTTAACACTTCAKCACCTCTGACCCTCCAGTGACTCCCAGGACAGTGAAAGAGTCCAAGGAGTGTCCATAATTCCTGCCTGTGGGAGAAAAAGCAAAGCAGCACCATGCTGCTGACACTGATGGTGCCACCACAAACCCATCCCTCCACAGGGCTGGGACCTTCCAAAGAGCAAATCCCTAAGCTCAGCTCTCCTGTGTGCCATGCCCTCCTCAGCATTCCAGACTCTGCACAAAGCTCCTGCAGAGAAGGAAGGGGCAGCTCCTGCTCCTTTGAGACAGCCCCTAATGAACACCTCCCTTGTCCTAAGTCAGCTCATGAACTAAGCATCTTTGGTTAAAACAACATGTGTGCCACACTGCTGGGCCAAGAGTCACCAATTCCTGACACCAGATTTGCCAGAGAGATGAAGAAACTCCTCGAAGACACAGCAGAGTAATTAAATCTAGAACAACTCAAAACCCAAACAATGAAACAAAGAAAGACTTCTGGGATGGATATAGAATTGAAAATCACAGCAATCGGTGTGAATTTTTATAAATTTTCCTGAAATCTTCCCATCCATTCTCACCACATTTGCAGGAACCTGAAACACAGCACCACAAGTTTTTATCCTGGAATTTCTGACCACAAACACCATTGGAATGAGAGGCAGTGCTCCAAAAGAACTGGCTCAGAGGCATTTCCCAGCTGAGGCTGTGTTTTGAGATGGTACTGATTTGTTATTCCTATTAAAAGGAATGCCCAGGTTGCCAGTGTTCATCAGCTCCCAGCACAAACAAGCTCAACAATAAATCACCATCAGGAGCCAATACCCAAAGGAGTGGGAATAAAAAACTCTGGACTCTCCAGAGCTGGGTTTTCTGTCCAACATAMACGGGGATAAACTGAAAGTATTCCTCCTTGTGAAGCACCTGGAACCACGCTGTACCTGTCATGTCCAGCAACACCAGCAACCCAAACCAAGCACAATTAGACAWATCATGTACTACCAAAGGGAGATCCCCACTTCACCTCTTCCTGCTRTTATTTAAGACCCCATGAGCTGCTATTTTTTGCAGATGACACCATTTTTTGKCTTTGTTTATTTGATACCAAGATGAMTTTTCCCTTCTCCCAAGAGGAGGCAGCTTGTGCTGTTCTCACCCCTTGCTACTGGTCTCCTTCTCCTGGGGGGTCAACATATCCACACAAAYTCAGACTGCTCAAAAAACCATGTGGAATACAAACTTTCTGCTGCTGAGACCCCTGTGAGGACTTCTGGCACACARCACTCACCCTTATGGTGTTTGCTAATGAAGGATAATTTCCTGAAACAGGGAATGGGACAGGAGCAGTGCCAGGGACCTGCCCGGCTCACCCCAGASACATCAAGCTGCCACACCATTTCTGAGCTTCATTTCTATGGAAATTAAAATATTTAAGCMCCTTTAACAGCCAAAGGATTCCTCAAGAGACAAAAAAAAGTGCCAGCAGCCAGCTTAGATTCCCCTTGGAAGGGGAATGTGGCCTGACCTACCTGCTTCATGGCAGTGAAGGAAAAAAGGAAAAGAGAAACAGAGCAGTGAAGGGGACAGTGAGAATAACACAAACAGCCAGAGCAGCACCATTCCCCACAGAACACACCCATGTTAATGCAGGAGCAAGCATTGTGAGCCTGGCTGGTGTGAATTCCCCCTCCTGTTCCTGTCCTGCCCCCAGTGTGCCCTCCCTGAGCCCTGCCCAGCACTTTGTGATCCTGGCTGGTGTGAATTCCCCCTCTATTCCTGTTCTGGTCCCCAGTGTGCCCTCCCTGAGCCCTGCCCAGCACTTTGTGAGCCTGGCTGGTGTGAATTCCCCCTCTATTCCTGTCCTAACCCCCAGTGTGCCCTCCCTGAGCCCTGGCTGGTGTGAATTCCCCCTCCTGTTCCTGTCCTAACCCCCAGTGTGCCCTCCCTGAGCCCTGCCCAGCACTGTGTGAGCCTGGCTGGTGTGAATTCCCCCTCTATTCCTGTCCTAACCCCCAGTGTGCCCTCCCTGAGCCCTGGCTGGTGTGAATTCCCCCTCTTCTCCCTGTCCTAACCCCCAGTGTGCCCTCCCTGAGCCCTGCCCAGCACTGTGTGAGCCTGGCTGGTGTGAATTCCCCCTCCTGTTCCTGTCCTACCCCCAGTGTGCCCTCCCTGAGCCCTGGCTGGTGTGAATTCCCCCTCTTCTCCCTGTCCTAACCCCCAGTGTGCCCTCCCTGAGCCTGCCCAGCACTTTGTGAGCCTGGCTGGTGTGAATTCCCCCTCTTCTCCCTGTCCTAACCCCCAGTGTGCCCACCCTGAGCCCTGCCCAGCACTTTGTGATCCTGGCTGGTGTGAATTCACCCTCCTGTTCCTGTCCTAACCCCAGTGTGCCCTCCCTGAGCCCTGCCCAGCACTTTGTGAGCCTGGCTGGTGTGAATTCTCCCTCTCTTCCTGTCCTGCCCCCAGTGTGCCCACCCTGAGCCCTGCCCAGCACTGTGTGAGCCTGGCTGGTGTGAATTCCCCCTCCTGTTCCTGTGCTGGTCCCCAGTGTGCCCTCCCTGAGCCCTGCCCAGCACTTACTGAGCCATCCCACGCTGGGGCTGCGCTGCACTCCCAGTTCATCATCCAAGGTGCGAGTGGCCAGGCAGGGCACGGAGCTTTCGAGGGGGCTGCGTGCTTGTGCCAGGCAAGCAGGAGACAGGAGCAGCAGCAAACAGCAGGAAGAGAGCAAAGGGGAAAAGTTAAAAGAAAAGAAAAGAAAATTATGGCAGAAAGAAAGGTTCAAGCAGCRGCACAAGGAAGCCAGGCGGGAGAGAAGGTTTGAGCTGCACAGTGTGGTCACCAAAGCCACTCATTTAGACCCCAACATCTCCTCTGCAGAGTCACCTCAAAGTGTTCATGAGGCAGGGCTGGAGCCAGCTTTCCATCCCTGGTGTCTGAAATTCAGCAATCTTTGAAGCAGATSTCAAGGAGGTGAGTGAGCAGCTGCAGTGCTGGTGCCACTGGTTCCAGGCTGTGGCACCATCAGTAACAAGAGGCTTTTAAAAATAAAAATCAGCTCATGATCCAGAAGCCAACTGTGAGCATCCTGACCCCATCTGTGTGTACCCAGGCACTGCCATCCAGACTTGGAAATGCTCACCTTAGTCTGCAGCGCTTCCAGTATTGCCAATAATACATTGGAAGAGCTTTTCCAAGCATTCCTTGGACAACACCTCATCTCTGACATCTCTCCTGTGTGCTGGTACTGTTCAGCTGATGCCTCTATTCAGCTCTGAAGGCACTGAGGTCACAGTTCATGTGAAAAACACTGAACTGTAAATGCAGAAGCACAGGAGCTGTGGCTGCCCCATCCCTGGCAGTGCCCAAGGCCAGGCTGGCCAGGGCTTGGRGCMCCCTGGGCTACTGGAARTGTYYCTGCCAGTGACAGSGGGTGGAACAAGATGGTCTTTCAGCTCCCTAACAACCCAAACCCTTCTGGGATTCTRACACAGAATAAAACCTTCCTCCTGTCTGTGCCTCAGCCAACACCTTGGCATTCCCACTCAAGTGTTTCCAAACCATGCTGCCAGCACAGTGTGAACAAACAGTGCTGAGGTGTTCAGGCAGCACCCACGCACTGATGGGACCGTGCCATTATTTATAGTGCTTAAACACACACACTTAAACACATCCATTTTTTACAGCCTCTGCCAGCTTGGGTTTAGTAGGATTTGAKAGTTTCTCACTTGCCAAAGGCTCCCACAGGTGTTAAATTATACAAAACACTGGCAGGCATGAAGCTCTGAAAGAAAAATGTCAAAAATGGATAGCAAATGTCATCACAGAATGCTGGTAAATATTGATCAGTCCTCAGGCACCTGCAGAAGGGATGGAGACAACAGATCCCATGTTATAGCATGGTTAGGTATTGCTCCAAGGGTGCAGGACAARGGCTGTGCCAGGAAGGGACACACACAAAGAACTCTTCAAAAGCCACTCAGCAAAACCAGACACACACAAAAACCTGCCAAGAACCCCTGCAGGAGTCCCATCAACATGAAACATAGAAATATCCYTGTGGAACACTTCATACAGCTCAACCTTCTACCAGTGGAAGCAAGGACTGCTTCTACCAATGTCTCTGCAAGGTAACATAGAGGGATTGCTTAGTCCACAATCTTGGCAATCACCTTCTTCCTACTGAACAGACAGCAAAGGAGCCTTGTGATTTATTTTACTCCATCCATGACACACAAGGAATTACCCTCTTTTGCCCAATTCCTTTCCCAGAGCAAAGGGGTTCCTGAGAAAACACCCTGCCACAGAATGACCCACAGTATGATGCAGCAGTGAAGAAGAGGTGTCAGAGCACACCTTGGCTGTGATTCTGCCCATCTGATCACTCCTTACCTTCAAACACAGCAGTGAGGTGAAATATGGGGGCTCCCAGGGACCACAGAGCCACCCCTTGGGAGGGCTAGGAAGGGATGGAGATGCTCCAGGASCAGTTATGGCCAGGAGATGGGAAGTACATAATTGTGTCCTAGTTCCTGAATTTCTAGATGCATTTGGGATAACTGCATGGGCCTCATTCATTTCAAAAGCCAGGAAAAAAAAAACATTTTGGAGCCCCTAAGACTTCAATTATTTAAGCACTCTGAACTGAGATGGAGGCACCTCAGGACTTTTTTGAGCCGTGGCCCAGGGGATATTTCCAAATTTCAGATCTAACAAATAGGAAGAGTTCCAGGGCAGGTTGGCCAGGCTCACAGAAGATATCCCTGCTGAGCCAGCCAAGCAGAATGGCAGCTACACCAGCCTGTGAAASTGCTGTGCAGGGGCAGGAGAATGCTTAGACCTGGTGGCAGCACCAATATTGGATGGAAGACTCACTGACACTGAAATGAAAACAAACACCTACTGGAAAGAAACTCCAGGGCAATTTAGGAGTGCTTGGGGCTGGCAGCACAGTCATTATGGTGATGAACTGTGTTAAGAGACAGCTGCACTCCTGATGGCCTCATAAAATTTTTATCTGTCTGAAGTACATGTGAGGCACTCATTGAATCCAAGGTATAAGCTGATCAARTACACTCTGTAGTTACTTTGTTATTAAAGCATCAATAATAAATAACRGAGTATTCATGAGGTATTTCCCTCTGTGTGTCAGTGTCGCCCTCCTAAAGTCATGGAACTGTGTGTTACACATCCTCAGAGCTCATAACAATCACAGGTGGGGCACAGAGATAGAATAAAATAAAAGGAGAGGCTGATGGCCAGACCAGGAAAGAATTCCTAGAAAATCAGGCCAGCTGAGCCAGCACCTGCACAGCCCCTTGAAACAAGAGCAAGAAATGAAGGAAAATGAAATCACTTATTTGTAAATAAAAAACGAGCAGGGGCTGAGTGAGAATGTGAGGAACGCCCTTGGTCAGCATCACCCTTCCCAGAATAAGCTCTGCCGTGTGCAGGGAAGGGGTTTGAAGCTGARAACTGAGGGCATCCCCTATGAGAGGTGACTGAAAAACCCATGCTAAAGATGTGTCTCAGTGCTCCCCTGAGTCCCCTCCCTCTGCTCCACTGGACTCCTGCAGGGATATTCACCCTTAGTTGTGTTACTGCACCTTTGTGTCACTCAATTGCCACATTATAAAGAGGCATCATCCAGAGCAATGAACAATCTCCACATGCACACACACTCCTGTTGCAAAAGCAGAGGATGGTCCAAGGTAGGAAATATTAATCAAGTGTCAGAATAGGTTAGGGAGGAATGTTAGGGTGAGTTTTAGAAGCCAAACACAGCAAGCTAAGAGGCCTTTGGTGGAGCAAGAAGAAAAGAATTTTTCCACTTGCTTTTATCTCTGGGTATTTTAAAGCGGCAACTTTTAGCCCAACTTCCAGACTGCCACAGGAGATASCTGAGAAAACTCCAAGGCATGACAAGAGGCTTAAAACTCCTCTTTTTTTATTATCATGAGCAAAAAAACCCCAAATCTCTGTGCAGGGGTAAGCACTGAGTGGGTGCCCAGGCCTCTGTAGCTGTCTGCATCCACACACACACACACAGGCACCCACTGAGGAACACCACTACCAACATGGCACTACCTATTACACCTTTCTAGACACAAGAGACATATTCACAACACGTCACAAAACTACTTTAGGACTACCAAAGCAAGATGGAAATCAGCTTTACCCCACTGGACAATGATTGYACGGCAATAAAATGCAAGCTAGATGTTCCTGCCAGGTCATTTTTGATCACAGTGCCACCAACATTGTCTGTTACAGACGTGGAATGTGCGTGGAAGCTTTGTCTCTGCCCAAATCTTTCAGGTGATCAGCCTTTTAAGGTTCAGGCTTACAGTTTTTGCAAATCTCTCTTCCCTCTCCTAGATGCCAGCTGCCAGAGCAGCCCCTGCCTCCCTGCGTGCCCCTGGTGCCCTGTCAGTCCAGTGAAGATGTGCTCAGATGTGCCAGGGCCAAGCAGCCTGCAGAGCCCCCGCTGATGGCACCATCAGCACGGTCTCCCTAYGCCCACGGGGTTAGAAAAGCATTGTCAGGGCACACAGTTAGTTGTGGCTTGCTGTRACAGACAAGGCTATAGCCATGTAGCCTCTGCATTACCATTATCGGGGTTGGAAAACATCCTACTTGCACTGGAGACGGTCTTTCCAATGTCAGCCAGAGAGCGCAGGTTGGATTTCTTGGTCTGGTGCCGGTGCTTCCTGAGCAGGGTGTAGGTGACCTTGTCCTTCAGTTCAGATTTCAACAGCCCCGTCTCGATCTGATTGTCAACGATCATCTCTGTGGTGAGCACAGGAAAGGGGAGGGAGGGGAGAGCAAAATGAACCACAGAGCTCAAAACTGCTTCCAGCCAGAGCAGAGAGAGAGGGGATCATTTTCACCCTGCCCTTTTGAAGGCTTTCTTACCATCTCAAAGCCAGGTTTTATTTGAAGRAAAATCTCTTTTAGACATTCCTCTTGAAACAAAATAKAAGCATTTCCATCCAGCCTGAGCCACTAACACGCACCTCTCTCTATTTCTTCTRCTATTTCCTACGTGCCACAGAGCCTATTTCAAGTACCAGGCTAAGACAGCTCATTCCAGAAATGGAATCCACTCTGAGCCTGAACTTTTGTGAAGATGCTGTAACTCCATTGCAAGTTCCATCAYGCTCCCAAAAATCACRGAGAAAAACTTCCATCAGATTTAACRAGGCCTGAGTTCACCTCGCAGGCCCCCAGTAAAACCTAATCTAAAGATAGGAAAAGTCCTGGAGATGAGCCACTAATTAAATCATTCACTTGCAGGACTGAAGTGAYGGCAACTAYGAACAGCASAACTTGCTCCAGTTACCATAGGATSTRTTMTATGGCTTTACCTTTCACAGAGTCACCAGGAGAAAAGGCTCCCAGCCTCCTCAATGCCTGCTCACTTCCCAWCGATTCCCTCCTTTCTCCTCCCYTATCCCAGAGGAAAAAGGCAAAAAGATGGCCAGATTTATGAAGAATATCCCCTGTGCAGCAAATCTCCCATGAAGTGGTTCCCTCCATGACTSGAGTTCACTGTCCCCCGAGGGCAAGTGGCAGCTCTTATTTGTCTGCTGGTAACTTTTATTTGTGCTAATAATAAAAGTTATGGGAAGGGGGAGGCAGGACACGCATCACATTTGCTAACTCAGTGAGTCAGAAAGTCGTCTTCTACRTGCTGCCTCTTCAAATCCCTAAGGAAAAGCCTAATTCTTCACTCAAATTAAGACAGGGTGGGTACAGGCACGTAGGTACCCTTACACAAAATGTTTRGCAAAAGGTTGATTTGTGTTAAATGTTATTTTAATACAAGCTTTTCTTGCTCATGGTTTGGTTAGTGATTTTTKGAGTAGTTCCTTCAGAACTTTCATGCAAGTTTATCCTTCTCTATCTGGCATCTTCCCTTCCCTGTTCCTGATAAAACACAAAACAACAGAGAGAGCTTTTCTTTGGAGTTTTCCTTTCCTGTGTGTCACTACCAGACACCAGCCAAGTGATCTTGATTAAATCACCCTGGAAATCCAGTCCTGGATATCCCTACCTGTCTGATTAATGGTCTGGACCAGCAAAAACATCCTGTTCAGGACAGTGTCACAGTGGAACAGCAACAGCAGCCATCGATGTGTAATTTAATCTCCTAGGAATTAGATTTAATTTGGGTGTTGAAGAAGGAGATTGAAGGTGACATCTTGAAGGGACTTCAAAAGGAAATTTAATGTTTGAGGGTTTAAGGTTTTGGACCATGGACATCAGCTTCTAAAGCAGGTTCAGCTTCAGCAGAAAACTTSAGAAGCTCTTGGGGGTTTATTCTGTTAAACTTTGCAAAGTTGTGCATTTGGATACACAGAAAAGCAAACTCAGTTTTAACTCAGTTCTGTATTTAACACCAGAGGCAGTTTTTGTAATTGCAAGTCTTACCAACCAGTGTGTGGGGAATTCCATGGCAGGACAATTCTGACATTGCTTCCTGAGATGATCATTCAAAGCACTGAGTTTTGGTGGAGGAAGTGTTCAATTTTGCTCTTTTAGACCTCTTCATTTAAAGGCTCAAATTCAGCATTTCGGTTAAATATCCCTCCACTGGATGGCTCACTTGGAAAATTTATTTTCTACGAGTTCTCACATGCCATGGGCAACATGATCTGGCTTTTGGCAATGTCACCAAGTGTCACCCCAGGCCACAGCTATTTTGATGCACAAATCTGCCTCCCCATTCTGCAGTGGAGGACCAGATGGTGCTGGGGCTGCTCTCCCCTCTCCCTTGCTGGGGATGGAAGGGTATCCCATCCTAAACACAGCCCTGCCTGCCTTCAATGGGCACCAAAACACCTCACTCAAGAGCAGTTTGTGGCCAGAGTTGTTCTGCATGGACAGTACCTGATGAATATCTCTGCCCCCAGAGACGTGGCCCTTTCACATGTCACCTTTTCCACAGTGAACATAAATTAAATKGATGTTTTTTACTCTTCTTCCTACTCTTTTCATCTAGCTGTTATCTTTTCCCAGGTATTTTTCTCATTATTTCTTTCTTTTCCGCTTCCAACACAAAAGCAGCGCTTTTTCATTAAAACCATCCATAAAACTGAATCAAGATTAATAAAAATTCACAGGGAAGGCTTGAGAGAAAGAGGCAAGATAGGTGTACTCACCCACCACCTGAGGGAGGGAAGAGGCCTCCATGTCCAGCATGATGGAACCCTTCTCTATGCAGGTCCTCAGCTCAAACAGGCTGTGCAGGGACAARGTGGCCACGTGGGGTTTGCTCCATCGCTCCCCACCTTGTTCTACCTTCTCCTCAAACTTGATCCACCTGAGAGAGGGCAGAGCAATGACATGGGGTTAGATCTGCTGGCTTCTTGCACACAAACAAATCAGTATTTCTGCAAAYAAGGTTAATAAAAGGTTAAACTTGTCCTTGAACTATCTGGGTTAATGGCTGGGCTTTTCCRACYTAAATGATTCTGYGATTCCAATTCAGGCAATAAAATATGCAGCCACTGCCAAGATTCTGGCAGCATGGAATACTGCTGTCCCATCCCACAGGGTGGCAAARGGTGGAAGAGAGGAGCACATCCCTGCCCTGTCTGAAGGTGTGGAGAACAAGTGACCACCAAAGGAGAAGCCACAAATTAAGGGACTCATTCTTTCCCTCCAGCCACTGTTTAATGATTTAACCAAGCAGKTCTGAAAATCCTGAAAACTTATCTCTAAAGGAAGGTTAAGGAGAGCAAAGGTTAAAATCCTGCTCTGTGCAAAACACTYTTTACACCCCTAAAACAACATTTTGGAGAGGCTTCATGTCCCTGGGCTGCAGCCCATCCCCAGTTCCCTGCAGCCTTGACCCTGCCCTTGGCTCTGCTGTGCCCAGCCTGGAGCACAAAGGGATGGAGCACAAAGTTCCTGTGCAGGGCTGGGGATCTCACCTGGCTCACACCTTCCTCCTTACCACAGCAATAAACTCCCAATAAACTTCCAATAAACTCCCAATAAACTGGGAGTGAAGGAAAAGGTGATTCAATATCCCCTAATGGCAAAGCAGAAATGCTTTTTAATCCCCTCTCTAATATATGTGGAAAATGAAAATGCCAGTGACTAATATAAAGGGATTGTTAAGTGAAAAACCCACACATGTAAAGGTAAGGAAGCTCATAAATTTGTTCAAAAGAATATTATTAACAGCAAGCAAAAYTATCTTTAATCCTGAAAAATGTATTACTCGAGGATTAATCAATTATGTTTCACAATTGCAATAATCTCTTTTTAAGACTTTGTGTTTTTAAAGGTGCTTTTTAACTCATGTTAAAAGACTGATTTTCGTCTCCAATTAATAAAGTCCCTTTAGTTCACAAAAACTAAGTGTTTCCTAGGACACCTGAGGGACCTGGCTGGATGCAAATCTGCACTTCAGGAGCTTTGTGTGATGTGGGACTGAGTCACATTTACCCCATAACAGCAGAAAGGCTGCAAATTCCCAGTGTTTGTCCTTCCAGGGAAAGTGATTACTCACAGCTATCAATATTTGCTTTTTGTTTACTTTTCTCACTCCAATCCACACAATGCCAACACAATAAAACAAATATTAACTTGCAAAGCTGGGTGAACAAATGCCTGCTCTATTCATGCAATCAGAGTGGTGTGGGTGGGGAGGGAGCTCAAAGCTCTCCAGTTCCAAGCCATGGGCAGAAACACCAACCAGGTAACATTAACAAAGCTAAGCCATGTGCCTGAGCATCACATTTACAAATCTGTTAAATCCCTTGAGGAATGGGGACTACACCACCTCCCTGGGCAGACAACCCCCAGGGTGAAGAAATTTTTCCTAATATCCAACCTAAACCTCCCCTGGCACAACTTGAGGCTGTTTCCTTTCATTCTGTGGTTTGCTCCTTGGGAGAAGAGCYCCAGAGAGAACCCCACACACAGCTCAGTGCAGCATTTCTACCACAGACATGTAAATACACCTAAACCCAGGAAGTACTGAACTCATGGAAAGAGGGAAGAAGAGAAATAAAGGGAGAAAAAGATGAGCAACAAGTCAGCAGTTAGAGAGCAAAAGGTGGAAAGTCATTTAGTAAGTTCCCCAAGCGACTGAGAAGCAAAAATAAAGCAAGGTAAGGGGTAAAGGGGTAGGTGGCAGAGCAGCTCATTAAATTACAGGTAAAGAAGATTCAAGTCAGACCCAACAGGGACTAACTTTGAACACAGACAGTGCCCCTAAGAGTGGGAGGTGGGGAAAGAGCTTATCCCAGCCATCATAAAGGAAAAGGAAAGACCTCARGCTCAGTGAGGGCAGTTGGGAATAGGTCAGTGATGTTCAGGTATAAACTGCATGTAACTTGTGGCAGCCAGACCCCAAAAACATCCCAGCTTGTTTGTCATGGCTTTTTGACMAAACTAACAGCAGCATCAAAGAACCCAACCAAGGAACTCAAAGTAAGCAACCCCATTTAGCATTTAACAGATACCTTGAAAAATTTCTTCACAAGAAAATACCTTTAGGCTTTTTTCCCTATTTAAMATTAATTCTATCAGTAACTCACTARGACAGGGASAGACAATTTCCCAGCCTGTGGTGTRGGGTGGGACCAGACTCAAAAGCTACTTTGGGGCAATAGCAGTGAAGTGGTTTTGACTCARGCACCAACTTTGGCAATTCTGGCAGAGACATGACACCCTTTGCAAAGCACTACTGAGCCCATACTTTACTCTCCACAGGCAAACTATTCCAATCAATCTGGCACTCTATTTTTTCCTAGTTTATCTTTTGGAATATTTAAACAAACCCTAAAATTCTCTCTTTTATCARAGAATGGCAATTTGATCTATGCAGSCTCTTTACASCGGTGTGATCCTGCAGCACAGTATTACCCAATGGAATGGTGAAACAGGAATTTCCCATGGAAGCACTGCTGGCTGCCCTTCCCTTGGAGGGTAAAGAACCAACCCACCTTGCAGTCTCCTTCCACTCCATCTCCTGTCCATCGACAGCCAGAAGCTCGTCCAGCTCGGTGAAGAGCTGCGGGGGCGCGGGGCTGTCATCTTCCTCTCCCAGGATGAAGCGGATGCGCTCGGCGGCGGGGGAGACTGCAGAGGTGAAAATACTGCGGTTAAGGGCCTGGGAAATGAGCAGGGACGTGCGGTTCCTCTCCTTGCCCTGCTCCCCAAGGCCATTCAGCTGTTTGTCCAGGCTGCCTGTGCCATCTGACATCCTCGGCGCTGCGGACGCAGGGGCGTGAGCGAGGGTGCYTCTATCTCCCTCTGTCCCCTTCCTTGCCTCTCGCTGAACTTCTTACAAGTTCAAGCTGGGAGTAAAGTTCAGCAAAACTCGTCTCTTCCTGCAGACCTTAGCCACGTTACAGCACTTTGCAGCCCTTGTGAAAAAAGCTCGATGGAGCTCAGAACCGAAGTGCTCCGTGGCGCTGCCCCAGGACCTGCCGCTCTCTGAGCAGCCCGRATCCTTCACCCCCTTTTTTATATGACCTAAAACCAGTTCCAGCCAAACCAATTGGGGGCTTGCTGGCACAGCATCCCATTGCTGGCTTTCCCCTCCCTCCCTGCCAGCCAGGTTTGGGCTGCCATTGGCCTGCAAGGCAGGCTGGAACCTCCCCAGCCCACCACTGCAGAACAGGAATATTTAACAGAGGGGTAGGCTCGTCTTTACRTGAAGAATGCGACCCAATGCATTTAGTCAGGCACCAATGCACTGAAAAAAAACAACTGGTCCCAGTTGGAAAAGACTGCCCTTTTAGGCAAAAGAACTACATTCAACACACAGCACAAGCAAGGGCTGTTTGCATTATAARCTCAAGAAAAAGGAACAGAAACCCTTTCCTGGTTAAAGATTCAAAATTCRAACCCAAGAACATCACTGTCCCCATCCCAAGGCCTGAGGGCATCTCCTAAAGGTAACTGGAGCCCACAGCACCAGAGTCACCTTGCTGGAGGGCTCCTTGGGGTCTACAGCCTATTTCTGAGAGTATCACCTTAAAGCAAAGGTGTGACCATGTGAAAYCTTAAGACAGGCATCCTTTCTGCTGCATGTTTATCAGCATTAGAGATACACAGCAGACTCTGAACTTTGAACAGTTCTGCTAAAAACTCCTTTCTTTTCAAAAGATCAGCTGGCTGTCTCTTGCAAAATAATTAATTACACCAGGTGTCCAACCACATTGATTTTTCCAGAGTAAACAGAGTCTCAATTTGCAATGAGAAAAAAGAAACCAGTAAAAAATAAGCCCTTTACTCCTTTTTCTTTTCCTTAAATAAACTTTCATAGCTTTCTTCCTAAATKACTCAGCAAAGGCTGATGCAAATTCACTTCTTCTTTGGTTAGTCTGATGATGCTTCTCTAATATAGATTCCTTTTTGACTGGAAGTATATTTGTAACCATAAATGCCCTTAGAATCTCCTGGGAGCCAAGGACCTTGCCCCACTGCTTCAGCAGCCTCCCCATCACAAGGCATTCAAATTCCTACAGGATTCAGGAGAGCTGCAGAGGAACTTCTGACAAGGGCCTGGAGTTACAGGACAAGGGGGAATGGCTTCAAACTGACAGAGGGTAGGGTTAAATGGGATACGGGGAAGGAATTCTTGGGATACGGGGAAGAAATTCTTGGGATACGGGGAAGAAATTCTTGGGATACGGGGAAGAAATTCTTGGGATACGGGGAAGAAATTTTCCCCTGTGAGGATGGTGAGGGCTGGCACAGGGTGCCCAGAGAAGCTGTGGCTGTCCCCTCCCTGCAAGTGTGCAAGGGGAGATTGAATGGGGCCAGAACAACCTGGGATAGTGGGAAATGTCCCTGCCATGCATGTTCCATTACTCTTTCCCTCAACCTGAGCTCATCAATCTCAATACACTTCTACATTCAAACAGAATTCAAATATCACAGCTAGAAAACATATAAAATATATTTCCACCCTATTGCCTCAAAAAGCAAGGGGGAGCACAGAAGTGGCTGCTGTTGGGATGAGGCCATAAGAGAAGAGACTGGGGAGCTTCTTAAGCTGTTGAAGCCAATGTCCATCTGCTGGAGCCAATGGGAAAACTCTCTCTCGAGTCATTGAGAGCACTACTCTGATATTCCCACCCACAGCACGATCATTCCACAACATTTTTCTCACCAAACCTGGGTGCCCACTGCCTGTCACCCYTTCTTTCCTGCCTCCTTCCTTTCCCTGTTTCCAATTTCCCATTATCCCCACTTAGGGCCGATGATAAGGCTCCCAATGCCATTAAGGCATTTGCTGGGTCACAGGTCCCGATGCTCACTTGACCACATGTTCTTTATTGCAATTTTGTGGGTTAATGGGCCGTTTATGGGTTGTTTATGTGCTCTCTTTAGCAAGGAGAACMTATTTTCATCTTAATCTCTGGCGAACACGGCGTGCTGGTGCAGGCAGCGGGCTGAGCTCCGGGCTTGGGGCTGGAGAGTTATTAACTCAGGGGGTCACCTCTTTCTGGCCAAACTTTGAGCAGTTCCTCGCCATTCTAGCCCAGCCTTGGCCATCACCTTCACCTCCAGCTCAGCCCAGCTCCCTGGCCCAGCCTTGGCCATCATCTTCACCTTTATCTCAGCCCAGCTCAGGAGCTGCTGGAACCAGCACTGCTGACAGCACCAGCAGCTCAGCCTGCTCAGCTCTGCTCTCCGTGCTGTCTCATTCCAGAAAACAACCTGATGGGCAGCACAGAAGAGGCCAAGCCACACACTTATATTTTTCCCCTGAATGGGAGAGGAATTAAGATGTTAACTGCAGAGGGTAGAATGTTCCAGCACARTGCCATCCATGGGTGATGTCTCTCACTTCCCCTTCTTCCCTTTCCTGTTCCATTCAGCCTCACATGATCCATGAGGCAGCTTATAAAATCCATAACTTGCACAAGAGAACAAAACATATCAGCAGTTTCTCCAAGTTCAGCTCAGGCCAATTCCAAGCACAATGTATACCCTCGGGTTCCCAAAGGCAAAAATCAATCTCCATCAAGAGAGAGGAATCTCAGAAAGCTCAGAAATAGGGAGAGACACATTCTAGCACGACAAGCTCAAATCAGGCACGGCTGAGATCCCAGCTGAGCTCCAGCAATGGCTTTGGTGGAGCCCTCCCTTGCTGCCTGGTGTGATGGAAAGCCACCCGTGGAAATGCCAGGGGGCTTTGTGGCATTGGYCCCTATCCTAAAGTCACCTCCTGTTTCAGTGCCAAGGGCCTGCCGGGTGCTGGGAGGCACTTTCAGCCGGGCTCTGGGGGTGTACAATGCTGTTTTGGGATGGGGACAGGGGGATCTGTGCTGATGCACAGGTGGAACAGCCTGTTCTCCACCCAACCATGCTTTTCCTCCTGCTTTTCCAGCTGCTCTTACCAGGGACACTCCTGGAGACTCTGGGGACCTGCACCTCAGCCAAMTGCTTCATCCACCCACAGGAACCAGCAGACACAAAGCTCTGTAAATCCTAAGTGCGTGGGCAGCTACAGAAATCCCCCAGAGACCCAGTGCAAATCCCTCCCCAGGGCCTGTGGAATTGGTATCCAGGAAAGTTGTTTGTCAAACATGCTTATTAAAATAGGACATGATGATACTCCCATTCCTTTCTTGGGCTTCTCCCTGTGCCAAAGCTCAGCTCAAACCCCCCACAGTCAGAGCAGTGACACACCTTTGCAGACACCTGTAACAACTTCCAACTTGTTTCCTTTCCAATTCAGCTGACTTCCCTTCCAAAACCGCCCGTTACCAAAATCCATTTCAATTGTGGGTTAATGCTGACACAACACCAGCTAAAGGCAAGCTTGGAGGTTTTGATAGCCCACAGCCCTAGCAGCTTCCTTCAAAGACAAACCCAAAGGAATTCCCACCTAAAACCAGGAGTCACTGAAACAATCCCCTTGGACAYCTCTGCTGGTGCCTGCATGGCATCCAACACACAGGGCCAAAGCACAGGGTAAGGGATGCTCTCCTGCTTTACCAGCARCACTGTCCAGCATTTCTGCACCTATTCCTACACCTGGACAGGTATGATCTAATTCCAGTCACGGAAGGGAGAAGATCACTTCAGGTAACACCAATTTCTGCAGAACAACCCAGGTGAGAACTGATTTCTGGATTCCCTAAGTGCTCCACCAAGCATCCCCAAACACCACAGAAGAAGCCAAGAGCTTCTTGCACATGGATTTATGTACAGGTGCCATCTCTTTTGGAATCTCTTGGGAACACTGCTCCAAGGCTGCACTCCAGCCTTTCCCAGGGTCCCAGAGAGCCACCCCTGGGTGATCTGCTYCCCAGCTAATCACTCTAAGCAGCCGTGAGAATTTCTCTTGAGCTTGTTTTGCCTCTTTGCATATGAACGATTACTTTTTGACCCCGCAGCGGGGCGGGCTGGCTGTGAGGCAGATTAGACTTTCCACAGTAAGGACTTGGCAACCCCACACTGCTCAGGTCTCACCCCAGACCACTTCTTGCCCGACTGTGGAACAGAGAAAATGCTATTTGAGGTGGTTTAATCCATTTTGGAGCACAGGTACCCCATCCCTCGATCGTGCCCCTTCCCAGACATAACAAACAGCACTGACTGCCCCTGGAATAATCCATTTTTTTRCTATTGGACTGCATGATTTTGCTGTAAGCTCCTCTGCAGCATGTGGCATATATTAAGTGTTTGATCTGCAAAAAATCTTCAGTATTAGACAAATTCTTACTAATACTTTGTTCTCTCAAGTGCCAGAAGAACGGCAGCATTTATGTAATGCTTTGCTGGGCATTCCCAGTTTCTTCAGTCTTTGGTGCTGTGCCTACAGATAYTTCATCAAAACATTCCTTGCAGATGCAGGGAGAGAAAAAGGACCCTTCTTCCAAAAATGTTTTCATATTAACCCATCTATGGATGCAATGCAGACAATCAGTCTGGGAAACTTCTGAACAAACCCAGCAACATCTCATGAAAATTTGATGATCTTTATCCTAAAAGGCAATTCCTGTAAAAGAAGACAGCCTGCCAATTCCAGCCACATGGCTATAATGGAGAGACCACCACATGCTATACCCCAAGCTCAATGATGAGCTTTTCCCAATGTGTTCTACTCGAGGGAGACTCTTTTTTCAAAAACTGCCTGTTTTTCCAGCTGCAGCCAAAACCAACAATATCTCCATAACCTGCCAGAAGCAGAGGCAGCTGCAGAATCCCAAGGAAATGGGAAGGGATAGCCTCCCACAGACA